ACTCTGCCTAGATATTTTTTGTAGTTGGAATTACTTAGAAGGGGAACATTTGACCGCTGCTGTGTCTTTAGTGCTGGAGCAATTGATTGAATAATCTGTCAGTCGATTGATTTTGCTTGCATGAGCTGATTATCGATGACCTCGAGAGTCTAATCGATATTCATAAAAAATGAAACATCAAATTAAACTTTTAAAAGTATGTACCTTATTGTTATGTTTGTTAAATCAAGAGATAAACAATTGAATATGGTTTCCTGACTCAGAAAACAGAAGTGTAAACAACATACTTTATGCGTCTGTCTCAACAGGAAGTATCCTAGATCGCCTTTGTCATATCATTGTTGCACAATATTGTTTGCAATAATATTGTGATTGTGTCCCCTTTAGTGGTGTTCCTGATTAATTGAAATAATCTAAGATTGGTCGCGAGTGACCAAATGACCAAGCAATCGATCACATTTTCTTCATTATCAAACACAAACTATTTTGTTTTAGTCTTTTAAACACTTGATGATGGAACATATCTTCGGTTGTCAGGGCCTGCAAACTTGTTTAATTCTTAGAAAACTCACTTCACTAACTGAAAAGTCATGACTGAATATTTCTTTTGAAGACTCCAGGAAGCTTTATGGTAATGATATATTCGCCATCACTTTAAAGTAGCATGTTGCATCATCTTGTACATATCTGCAATTACAAACTTGATAGGAAAATCTGAAAATGACGCTAACCAATTTTTTTTCGGCGATGATTGTTCGCTGGTAATGAAGCAATCATCAATTGTGAGATTTCAACCAATTCCCAACACTAGTCCCCTTATTGCCCACATGGGTTTATGATTCCATAGACTATAGATTGATTACTGAGCTCCGCTTATACATCAGCATATTGTGGTGAATGATACTCAGCACTACAGCTTGAGACAAAATGATACCGATGAATTGCAATCTAACACAAAACAGATAGACATTAAAGAATCAAACCAATGCGGACGAAGAAGGAAGTTCAAGCCGCCTATTCATCCCGCTTATCAACCGCTATGACTGTAGAAGTATCCCATACAAAGATCTCCTTCTGGATCAGAGCAGTGATCCTAAGAGCCTATAAAGCAGCAGGGTTAGAGCATCCAAGAGCATCAAACCCACATGAAGTTAGAGCATTGGCCTTGACACTCACTTGGCATGGAAACTGCTCTATATCATCTATAATGGAAGGCTGCTTTGAAGTCAGGCTATGTCTTTGCTAATCACTACCTGAGAGACATCTCCACAGAAGACGATCAGGGATACATCAGTTAGCCCCTAGTCGAAAGAAACAACTCATTGTACCGCCCAGACGATGAAGAATCTCACCCTTGTCACGCAGATTCTTTGACGCCAGGCAACTGTCCATTGCCACCGGCTGAGAGTCCATGTTCCCCTGACTTACAAGATAAGTCAGCGATGAGTGATACATAGACTCAGTTATGGTAATGTTCTTGCCTTAACAGATGGGTCGCGATTCCAGTTTCGTAAATTTCTTACCGTAACATATTGGGTCGCTGCAGATATTTCAACAACCAGGTGTCTAGTATACTAAGTCCACAAAACTTAAAAGGTTTACTTCTAATACAAATGTATATGAAGGTAGGTCCCGCCGACAAGCATCAAGAAATATTGAAGTTAGCCGCAGAAGAAGAAAATTCCCAAGGTATATATATCAAGCTTAACGCTGATGTGAATACAATCATGCAGGAATCCTGCTAGGTGGTTGACCCACCACCGATTCCGCTGGATTCAGTGAGCAAATAGCATGAGTCAGGATAAGGAAAAATATGTACTATTTTTCCTTATCCTGACTCCATGCTTATTGCTTGTCTTCTTCTTGCTAACCTAGTGGAACACGTATCTCCCAATTGAAGTTCCTCTTCAATAAAAATCACTCATTAGTACTCACCACGCAGTAACCTCCCCTTCCGCAGCGGAACGAGGGCTTCACCTGCGCCCCATGTGCCTCACTTTTCTCCTTCTTCTTCAGTGAGCTGGACGTGAGAGCCTCTGTGTGTCCCAACACACTATATCCTTTATTTATATTTAGTTTAGTACCTCTTATACTTAGTATTCAATTTTGCATTGATTATTAATCGTGGTTTCTGCTGCTTCTTATTCACGGTTCGGCCGTGGTTTGTTCAGTGCAGTTTACGCAATGAGAATCTGCACAGATTGTAAACTACGCTACTTCCGCATACAGACCCACATTTAAAATGCCCTAGTTGCATTACTCCATGTTCATTTGTTTCCTCGCTGTAAATTTTGTATTAATTTACCAATTTCTGCCTTTGATAATATTTATGTTCCGCTTTTAGACGGAAGGCAGATAAATCTCGTGAAACAAATCTCAGTCATGGCTAATAGATCATATATTAATGTTCCCTGTCAACTGTTGATCGATCTACCCGCCACCGCTGGTGTCATGCCTGAGTTTCCCTCTCGATAAGCGTGGGACGAGTCCGCTATGTCCAAGAAGCTTACCTACCTGCTCCTCAAGATCTGTCGCCTTCTCAGTCTAAGACTAGCAAAGCGCCCATATCATTTCGCATTTCTGCACACCCAGGTCTACAACTTCACAAAAGGGAAGTCTACAAAATCTAATAATTTTGCCTCTGATATTTTGCATACCAGTCACAGAATTAGCCTTATATGATGATGACATTCGATTATCATTCCAGAGGTTCGCCACAAGAAACGTCCGTATCCACGCATCGTCACCTCAGCGCAGATTAACACACAACCGAGATGCCTCACGCTTGTCACCAGAAATTTTGACTGAGGGTCCCTGGCCACCTCGCAGAGAGACAACCCTCATCATCAGCGCAGACCGCCCAGACGCACACTGGTCAACCAAAATCATGAGGCTGATGGAAGACCGCTACGGCTTACAGAGGCCCCAGAGCCACGGGCCCCAGAGCCTAACCCATTTTAAGTCATACAGGGCCCCAGAGCTCCGCCTTTGGCTTCGCTGTGAGGGCCCCAGGAGCCCACAGACGCTGCCTCCACGGTAAAGGGCATCCTAGCCCGGAGCGAAGCTCTTTGCATAGGGAAGTCCCAGGCCACTCCGCTAAGGAGCTAGAGCCTCACCTATTGCGCAGAGGCTTCGCTGAGAAGGAGCGCCTCAGCCGAAAGCACGCACCTTGTAATTCACAGAGGTCGCTCGCGGGCAAGCGCCACATGTCGATTCGACACTGACTCAAACATTCGCTAAGGACGCCAAGGCTAAGTGGTTCCATTTCTACCTCGCTTAGAAGAGCTTCGCTAATCCCCAGCCGCTCACGGGAACACTCCAGCGCTCGCGGAAGCCCCCCAGTGTTCGAGAAGCCTACAGCGCTTATGGCCTCTCACCGCTCATGGGCCGCCAGCCTTCGCTAAGGATGTCTTCCAAGGTCTCTGTACACTAGCCACTCACAAGTCCGTTTCTCCACAGTCCTCACATAGATCTTCCTATAGATCTAGGACTCGGCATATGACCATACGCCAGAAGAGGAGGATGGTATCATTTTCTCAGATGCTGAGATAAGATATTGGATGGTGAATGAATTACAACTTGCCTCCCCATCAAAGAACGAGGATGCAACTCAGACTTACCTGATGAAGGATGATGATGTAGATTATATCACCTCACCTCCTATTGACTCCAATCGCAGCCTTATTCAGCTAAACTAGATACAGCCTGCTCCAAATCCACTAAAGCCCAATCTACTCATTTACCGGCTTCAATGCCAAGAAATTTGCTGGACATAATATGGAACCCTTTTTCAAGGCCCAGGATATTGATGACAACTTTCAACTTTTCTCTCTGATACCAAGTCCAGAAGTTACAGAGTAGACGATCGCAAACTGCCCCAATTAGATACCATTTCCAGGAGGATGTTCTTCGATTAAATAGATCTAGAACTATTAATGAGACTCTCATCACCAAGTTCAAGAATTCTACAGATGATGAGGAAGACAGAATGATCTATCTTAGCTCTACTCATGCAGAAAAGACCACCAATTCCTTACAGAACACCTTTCAGCTTTACTGAAACTACTACCATGACGCTGTAGGCAAGGACTACTAGCCTCCTGCTCTTGAATAAGCAATTCACAGAGCCTCTTTACACAGCTCTCATGGTCATCGCCTCTTCTGTTTGGTGGCAACATAAACAAGGTCTCCAAAGAAGTATCTAAAGATTCCAGAGAGGTACTTATGATTAGGTGCAACCATGCAGGTGGGCCAATGATAATGATACATATCTCGATATTGCTGCCACGATTCGATACTTAATCGCGATACACAAAATAAAAAGAATAACAAAATATCAGCATACAACTTTTATTTGAATTGAAGAAGAAATCTTCAATCAGAGTTAGTAAGCTGTTCCAATTCTCTTGTACCTGAAAACAATTACTTTTGTTTTAAAAACACTAAACAAATCTGTTACTTTAACAGCAGTCAGCTATCTGGATATTCTGAAATAAACTTTGACACTTTCAAGGAGTCTGAAAAATCTGACTAACACAACATTGTCAAACAGACAAATGGTTACACACTCTTTTCAGTGTGCTTCATGCATCATAATTCTATTACAATTACAGTTTCATATTTTTTTTAGGAAAAATCAGAACATCAACATTTTCAGCTGAAAGTGAAGCACGCTGAGCAGTGACAATATCCCCAGCTGAGGAAAATACTCTCGCTGGGGACTGAAGTAGCACACACTCCTAGGTACTGCTTCACAAGACCCGGTAAGGGCTGGGAATCTGACTCACGCTCATCTTCCACCAAAGCAGGGGGTTTTCAGTTAATGGAATACATTCCTCAAGCTTGTATTTCTGCACCTCTTCCTCAATGGAAGCAGAAAGTGGCTTTGCCTCTTGCACATGTGTAATGAACACCTCCCCGCAAATATCTCCTCAATTGCACTTTTGGTTTCTTAGGTTGTGATGGGCCTGGTGTCTCAGAGTCAGAAACAGAGTCTGAAGTGCAAGTCTGTGTCCCACCAGTCTCAGTGTCATGACACTCAGGGGGACTGACTGTCGGTTTGAGGCAATACAGGTAGGGGCTGCTGTGCTATCGCTTCATCTGTGGATGACTCGGTTCCTCCTTCACTCTCACTGGAGCCAGTTCATCCTGAAAGAAGAATTATAACAGTTCAACCCGACAGCTAAAATGTCTAAAGTGATATTTGAAATGTAGCATGATTAATTGATCATAATACACTGTTGAAACATTTCTTTTACCATTCAGAATTTCAAATCATTTTGTGTAATAAAAAATAAAATATTCAGAAACAAATTAAGATGAAGTTTTGTTGTTTGAAACACCTTTTCTGTGGAATTTTGTTTTAAATGTTTAAAGCATTAATTAATTACATTAACAGTATTTTAATTATTCAATTGTTGAACTGTTTATTTACCTTGTTTGCTTCTGCCATCTTGATCGCATTCATGGTCAGGGCACTGAATACAAGAAGCCGTTGGCTTCATTGTGGTAGGGTAGTGATCGAAACCTGGGGTCAAGGGCAGTTGCTTCCTGTAGAAATTTGCTTGATGTCCAGGCTCAGTATATCTGGTCTTCAGATCTTTGACAATTGCCAACTTCACAGACTTGACAAGGCCAGAATCACTTTCAGTGACAGCCATGGATTTCAGAATAAGCTCCTTTAATGGTAGAATCAAGGAAACTGTGGGCACTTTCTCTGAACAGAGGATTGTTGTTATTGTCTTCAATGGTCGAAGAACATTTACCGCGATCTTCTACTGGGCGCTGGACATCTTCCTCTGACAGAGTAACAAGGGTGTCTGCATTTTTCCTGATATCCTTCACTGTGAGAGTGGCAAAGATTGCAGCTCGGGCTGAAGCATGTCAGAGCTAGAATTCCATCTCGTTAGGAACATCTTGGATCAGTTTCTTGTGATCGGGCAATTCAAGAAGTAACTGTTTTGACCTGAGAACAGATGCAGCATGTGAGCTTCTGTGAAAGAATGAAACTATTCTTCTCACTCTCCCCAAAATTCTGGACATCTGCATGCACCTGCATGGCTTTTTGGCTTGCTATGTTAATTGTGTGCGAAAAGCACCTTATATGAGGTGCAAATCTCGACTGCTTTACAGCACTAACAATATTGCTAGCATTATCTGTGCTTATGGCAATCTGAGAAAATTTGCCTAAGTTCCATTCGGCCAACAGCTGATTCCAGGACATTAGCCAGGTTTGCCCCAGTGTGGCTCCCTATGTAATGTTCGTGGTTTGAAGCACCGGATTTTCAAGTTGCTAGTCTTCGCTAACATAGTGAGCCGCGGATGGTAATATAGCTCTCGTGGAACGTGGAGGTCCAACCATCAGTAGTGACAGCCATTGATGACGACGACGCAGCAATACTTTCCATCACACTTGATTTTACTTTCTTGTACATTTCTAGGTATCACATAATTCATGAAGTGGGTTCTCGATGGGATTTCATATCTCGGTTCAAAGTGTGTGATGAGGTAATTTGAAACCGATGTTCTCTTACAACTGAATAAGGTCGCATGTCCATCGCAAATGAATGTACCAATTCCATTTGTTATTGCTTTACTGCGCCCATGTCGAACGAGATCTACAGTTTGGTCTTGAAAGCCTCACTAAGTCTAAGTTGACCTGCTAACGATGTGCGTTTATCAGCTGTGAAATGTTCAAACGCTTTTGAACATTTTTTGATTGTCCATAATCATTGCAATCAATATCGGGGGGATGATGTCAAGATGTGTGGACATGTTAGTTGTGCTCCCGTGTACCTGATTCGCAGAGGTAAATACAGACGCACAGACAGTCTCATCTTTTTAACAAGTTTCTTACCGTCAATGTATTCAATTGGAAAACCAAATGCTTGCCAAACAGAAGATTTGAATGAAGCCGGGGTTTTCGAATTTCACATTTGATTTCATTGCTTACCAGTCCGCCTTTCAGACATTGTTTTGACAGCTCAAAAAAGCACATGGCATCTGACCGCGAACTTGAGCTTGACATTCAAGTAATGCAATCTGATTGGTCATTCATGTTACTGGCCACCAATGAACAAACAGCATGGCTGTGTACTTTCGCTTTCCTGGAAAGGTGTTTTTGTGTGAAATGTTTCGAGTCATGGTTTCATGCAGAATATTTTATTATTAACAATTTTGTCAAATTATTAATAACACAAGCTTTATTGATTGCTATGAAAAGAAGTATATCCCGATGATAGGTATGCTTTTATCGCTTGATGGAAAATATTTATGATCATAAACGCTTTGTCACTGAAAAAAGGCTGGATATTTTCGAACGATAGTAAAAACATTTGAGCTTGAGAATACAGCAGTTTTGTGCCGAACGGGCCGATCTAACCTGTACAACAGAGACAAATATAGACACTCTCAGGTAAGATGCGCTTATTCAATTCAATGTTCACAACACGGACGCTTATATTATGTGAACAAGATCATTTTACTGTAATTGACAGCACACAAAACACTGTTTACAGTTTTGTATCGAGCGCATCGATTCACGGGCAAAATGTATCGCGATCGTGATCGTGATGCCATAGATCGCGATGCACCGTACCGTGTATCGCTGCACTTCTACTTATGATTAGATCCATGGATACCTTAGCTAACTTTTTAAACAGTCAGCACAGAGATACTCGGGCAAGTCTAAGTTCTCAGGGCTACAGAGAGCATGGGACAAGAAACTAGCTGCAGCTAATAATCCCAAGGATTCTTTCAAATTAAGCCCATACAGCAAATTTAGAGGAGGATCAGCTAGAGGCAGATCATCCAGAGGTGGCCGTGGATTTAAACGATGAAAGTCAGGTTCGAACGACTGGAGTCTTCCACCCCAGTCGCTCCAGTACAACCTTCTCAAGTGGGTGGACGCCTTCAACTACACTGGGAAAACTGGGGAATACTACAAGATCCTTATGTATCCAACATCCTACAGCACGGATATCTCATACAACTCAAGACCAAGCCATGCTAACAGTCACCCCACCAAGGTTCAACGCTCAGCCGGCTCAACTACCTATGTTAAGAGAAACAGTACAGTCTCTGCTAAACAAACAGGCCTTAGAAGTTCTGGATCAACGAAACATCGTACCAGGTTTCTACTCCCCAGTTTTCCTAGTGCCGAAAGAATTCCAAGGAGAAGTATCGCCTCATTTACAACATGAGCACCTTCAACAGAGAATATCTATGCAAACCACCAACGCTTTCGCATGATACATTTACCACAACTTCGCAATTAATTCGGCCCACTAGATTACATGGCCAGCATAGATTTGCAAGACGATATCTACACATTCCGAACCCCAGCTCAAGGAAATATCTAAGATTTATCCTAGACGGCAAACATTACCAATGGAAGGTACTTCCCTTCGAATCACTTCAGCCCCTTGGGTATTCACAAGAGTAACCAAGCCTATTGTCTCATACCTACATCGCCAAGGTCTCAAGGGATGCATTTTACCTAGACGACGGTATACAAGTGGATCCAGATCCACAGCGCCTCAGACTACAGCTGAACTTTATAATCAAGTTACTAACTCAATTAGGTTGGTTAGTAAATCTACTCAAGTCAGACCTAGAACCAACGCGAGGATCTGCACTTTCTAGGTATAACGATTTCTTACAGCTCAGAATCGCTTAGTAGTCCTGAGGACAGATGGATCAAGATCCAACAACTGATTCCCCAAGCCCTACTCTCTCGCTACCACTACGACAGTGGCAGAGCCTATTGGGACTACTCACATCAGCTCAAGACCTGACACTCAGAGGCAGGCTTCAATTAAGCCCATTACAAGTCCTCATCAATGCTCATCTCGAGGACCTCTACCGCTCAGTCTACCAGATTACGCCAAACCACATCTACTCTGGTGGACCAAGAGATTGAATGTTTCGCAGGCATCTCCTTAGTAGAGCCGGAATCGAAAACACATCTCTACGCAGACGCTGGCGTCACTAAAAGGTTGGGAGCCCACCTTGCCGCAGGACAGCGCCAGGCCTATGGAGCCATCAAGAGAGCAAATGTCACATAAATCTGCTAGAGATGCAAGCAGTCATAAACGCCCATAAGTCACTGGAGCAATCTACTACAGAATGCCTCAGTTGATGATTCACACAGACAATTCAACAGTGGCGCTTTATGTGAACAAACAAGGTTCAACAAGATCACTGAATCTACTCAATCGTTGTTTCAGACTGTTCGATTTAGTCGACAATCTAAACATACATGTCAGAGCTTGCCACATTCCAGGAGCAAAGAATGTTTTAGCAGACGCTGTCTCTCGGCCACACCAACCGTCGCCGACAGAATGGATGCCCCACACAGAGATATTCAATCAAATAATCATGGAAATAGGATCTCCATTGATAGACCTATTTGCCACTTGATTCAACAAACAACTGACAACCTTCGACGCCAGTGCCAGACCCACTAGCATGGGCAACGGACGCACTAAGCATATCGTGGGAGGGACTCAACGCTGCGACGCTTTCCGCCTCCCGCGTTAATCCCACAAGTCTTACAGAAAATCAGTCAAACGAAGAGCCTCGATCTCATTTTGGTCGCATCATACTGGCCTGCGAACGTGGTTTTCCAGATCTCATGCTAGGAATCGGAAAACCAGTACTTCAGCTACCACTGCGCACCAATCTATTGATACATCCAAGACACCAAACAAGTGCACAAGACACCAGAAGCATACCAACTTCACGTGTGGGATTGTATCAAGGCATGTTTGAATAAGAGAGGTTATTCTGCCAGAGCTGCTAAAGCGGTCACGCTTTGCACTACGTAACTCAACTCGTGAATTTGTACGATGACAAATGGCACAGCTTTGTCAATTATGCTGCTAAGAAAGGATTTACAGCCAGATATGCTACACATCCTCAAGTGGCAGATTTCTTATGTTACCTACGTCAAACTAAGAATCTAAAAGGCTCAACCTTGTCCACTTATCTTGCAGCCTTAAGTTCTGTCATAACTATGAGAACGGGCGTCAAGTTGACCAAAACACCGGAGTTACTCGCTTTGTTACGAGCGTTCCGATTGGAAGATCAGAAACGGAAGTTTCAAGCTCCAGCCTGGGATCTAAATATAGTACTCCAACACCTCACGAAGTGAGAGGCTTATGAGCCATTGTTATCTGCTTCGTTTGAATCACTGACCCACAAGACCTTATTCCTGTTAGCATTAGCTACTGCCGCCAGGATGTCTGAGATTCACGCTTTGGATTACGAGAGAACACGCTTTGATGATACTCATAACATCGCTCATCTGGGACTCCGCTGGGATTTTATAGCAAAAAATCAACTGCCAGGTCAACCAGACAGGTTGTTCCATGTCCCAGCTCTCTCATCCATACTTGGACCGCATGATACGATGGACCCATCACTTTGCCCTGTAATGCACTGAAAAATATATCTCCAACGATCCAAGAAAAGTAGAGGGAAATTCAAAAGATTGTTTATCCCTATATCCACCGCTTCGCAGACAGAAGTGTCGCAGACTCACGATTTCTATTTGGATCAGAACTGTCATACTACGAGCCTACAAGGCTGCAGGACTCGACCCTCCAAGAGCTTCTAATCCTCACGAAATTAGAGCTAGCCTCAACTCTCAGCTACATGGAAATTGCTCGTTGAATACCATTATGGAGGGATGTTTTGGAGATCCGATATGGTGTTTGCCAACCACTATCTGAGAGATATCACCACCAAGGATGTCTCAGGTATCCACCATTTCGGTCCCATGGTCCTCGCTCAACAGTTGACAGTTCCACGGAGAAGATAAGTTTATCTTACAGATTTATACTTATCTGATAACAGTACTAATAGCTACATGCTATCTATATATTGTTGCTTAAGTTTAATTTATTATCTTAAGCTCAGTAATATGATTCTATATCATACTATATATATGCTTTCAACTCCTAGGAGTTCTGCTATTATATATATGTTCAGCTTAAGTTATCAATCCTTAAGCTCAGTCATATGTTCAATTCATAACATGTATTAGTTAACAAACTCTAAGTAGTTGGTTACTATTATACAGCTTAAGTTATATTATTTCTTAAGCACAGTACTATTATAGCTTATATATATGCATATTGTAAGCTTAATACTTTGGTTCATTATAAAAGTATTCACTATAAACTCTCAGAAGTTTATACTATCACATTAATGGCTTCAGTTTACCTTAATGTTGTATATACTTTTATTATCTTCACTAAATTTGTAATAACCTTTATATGGCAGCTGATAAGTTAACAGCAGGAATTCTTCAGTTCAGTGCCTTTATGAAGTTCCCATAGGGTTATTACAATCATCTCAGTTCAAAATCACTAATTATTAAAATCCAAAGTATATATAATCCCACCTCCTGTTCCGTCATTCTACAAGCAATAAGTATGAGTCAGGATAAGGAAAAATATGAAATTTTTAGAGTAAAATTAATATTTTATACTTATCCTGACTCATGAGGTAAGCCCTCCCGTCCTCCCCACTAAACACTTTGGATTTCTTCGGAAAAATAAAGTGTCGGGCTCAAAACAAAAAAGGAGAGAGTGAGGCACATGGGGGCAGGTGGTGCCCTCGTTCCCGCGCTTGTGGAAGGGAGGTTACTCGTGGTGAGTACTAATGAGTGATTTTTTATTGAAGGGAACTTCAATTGGGAGATACACGTGTTCCACTAGGTTCGCAAGAAGAAGAAGACAAGCAATAAGCATGAGTCAGGATAAGTATAAAATATTAATTTTACTCTAAAAATTTCATTTTTATGATAAAATTAATATATTATACTTATCCTGACACATGGGATGAAGCTTTCCCAACCGTCCCCTCTCATCACACGGGTTTCCTTTAGTTGCCAATGCGCCCTTGTAACAAACTGGGAAAACACACAAATAAATGATGACAGTTTCTTAAACAACTTTTTAATTTTTGTGACAAAAATAAGCCATTTATTTCTAGAGTTGGTCTATTGTTTTCTTGCAGTCTGCGTTGGTTTGATTCTTTTATGTCTATTTGTTTTGTGTTAGATTAAAATTCATTGGTATCATTTTGTCTCAAACGGACTGTAGTTGTTTTTCACAGGTTAGTATTGGTACAGTGTTAATCTTGTCATGACATTTGTCTTTCCAGAAAATATTGTGATAAAAGACCCACTGTTTTTTAATGTTTATCTTGTTATGACAAAAAGATCAAGTCTGCTTTTGTTTTTCCAGATAAAATATTTGAAGAAACTCACTGTTTTTTATTGTTAAATCTTCTTGTTGTGACAAAACATCAAGAGTGCTTTTGTTTTTCCAGAAAAAAAAATTGTTTTGAGATTTGCACTGTTTTAACCCAAAAATAAATGAATTGTGAGAGCCCCAGTAAGTATCGGAGACAAGCCCCACTCCTCCCGACACACATGCTGACACGCTGTGGCATAACTGCGGTGGAGTGGTAGCCTAGTGGATAAAGCATTCGCTCGTAATGCCGAGGGCCCGGGTCGATTCCCACATGGGTACAGTGTGTGAAGCCCATTTCTGGTGTCCATCGCCATGATAGTTTTGGAATATTGCTGAAAGCAGTGTAAAACCATACTCGCTCACATACAGTGGCATAACTAGAATATAGTAAACCTAAGTCACTCGCTCCCCTATTTGAAGAAATCAAGAGGTAGATGTATAATTATTGAAAAAATGGACTTGCAACATGCTGGATCATGGAATATGGTAGACATATTGTTTTTATGATATCCTATACAATTTTCCTTCTTCATCTTCTTTCCAGATAGCAAAGTTTGCGAAGGAAGGTCACTATCAGTTGGCGTGTGGGCGATACTTTGATGCATCCCACAACATTTCGGGGGACAATGTTGAGACCAGCATCAACCATCCTAACCAGTACTTTGAAGAGAGTCAACTTATACGCAAGGATGGGGGGAAAAAAATAAGTGAGTGGTTTGTATTAAATTAAATATTAAACTTTAAAAATATAAATAAAATGCTATGTGTAGGGCTGGCTACCAAGTCACTCACTCACTCAACAGTCATTCACTCACTCACCTTCTAAGAAGTGTTCTGATGTTTTGTTGATATTCCAAGCCTGAACCTGTCAGCTCTCACCAGTGATGTCCAATATGCTGATTTCTTTCAGCAGATTTTTTTAGATTTTTGCTTGAAGTTCCTTGCCGAATATTCATCAATAATCGATTGAAAATCAGTTAATGATTATTGATCCCTATGAATGTTCAGAAACATGAAGGTTGCACAGTGGAATTGAAAACTAAACTAACTAAATAGAAGTTTCGAAATGTTCTGTTCGGGGAAATAAATCTTTGTTAAACTGATGAAATAATCCAAGTAATAAAAAAAATGGTTAACTGAACGGGAATCTCTTTTAAAAATGCAAATGGGCTAACTAACTTAATTTGATACCTTTAAATTCTATTGTCTACACAAATCTTTCTAGCTCTATTGCAGCTTAAAGTCTATTTTCTACTATCTAGCTCTTTTGCAGCCAGCTTTGAAACTTCTATTTCCAAGAACTATTTAAAGTTTTTTTATCAGTCTATCTACATCCTACATGAATGAGCTGATAAAACGAAACTCAAGTAACACCCAAACTCAAGTGAAACCTGAACTCGAGTGAAGTCCAAACTCAAGGGCGTCTGCATCTCTCGATTTCCACGTGGTCTGACCGCACGGGAAAATTCGTGCTCCTCGGTTTTGTTGTGTTTACGTGGCCTGTTCAAACTGTTTGTCTCCAAACCAATGAACGTATGCTAATTGCTGTCAGAAGTAGTGTAGTTCACGTCAAAATAATCTTTATGAATCCTACACATAGTTTATTTAATGTTGCCAGCATTTTTCTCATGCACTTCTTGTAGTGGCCATGTTACACAACCAGTTGTGAACAAACCTGACCTGTAGGTAAATATTATTTGATACGGGCATCAAGCAATTGTAATTTTAAACCTGCTCATCAATGTCTATGATGATCTTTTGCAGACACACCTAATCCTGGGAAGGTCATCCGAGTCAAAGGTTCTCAGAATTCTCAGTCGGTGAAAACTTCAAGTCAGCCAACAGACACACAAGCCACAGACTTGGATGAAATGGAGGATGACTTCCCCATGGAGGAATTAGACTCAATGCTTCAATAACCCTGCGGTTTGACATGGCTACTATTAATGGAAGCACTATACATTCATTTGTTATTAGTAATTATTTATGGAATAAATGTTAACAGTTTCATTCAAGCCAGATCTTTGTTCTTCCTACTTGCTACTGCTGAGGGTATTCCATTACACCTCATGGCAGAGTGAGTGAGTGAGTCTGGTTTTATGGCACTTTTAGCAATATTCCAGTAATATCATGGCGGGGGACACAAGAAATGAGGCGTATCACATTGTACCCATGTGGGGAATCGAACCCTGGTCTTCGGTGTGATGAGCGAACGCTTTAACCTCTAGGCTACCCTACTGCCCCCACTTTGAATAGCATGTCGGGATGGGTGATTAGAATCTTTACGCTTTTGTTATGAAATGTTCCAAGCTATTATAGCTCTGCAGATTTGTTTTAGTCTCTGGACATGAAGAAAGTCTTGGCTACATTCTTATATTTTTTGTGAATATAATTTAGGAACATTGTTTTCTTCTGTGAAATGTTCTTTTCAGAGGCGAGATGCTAGTCTAGCTGTCAGTGGACTTGGCTGGAATGTTAGTGATTGGTTTGAGAAAACTTTCACTCACTCACACCTAAATAGATGAACCTGCATCACTAGAGCTCTCATACTTGTTAAACACAGCGTTGTCAATATTTTCCCAACTATGTTTGTTTGCAATGAATGATAAGAAAGTGAAATAAAAAAATAACTGTCTTGATGTCATTTGAGTTCATTCTTCTAATCAAAAGTTTATACCACTGTCAAATATTCCATGTGAGACCCAGTAGGGCAGGGTAAGATCACCATTCCATAATCTCTTGTTATCATCATGAATTGATATTGATTTGAAAATGCACAAAAACAATTCCTTCTTTGAAAGGCGAAACCTACAATTTTATTTATTTATTTATTCTTTCTCCTCCTCCCCCCTTTAATCAAATTGAGTAGAGGGCGTGGGTAGCCTAGTTGTTAAAGTCTCCGCCATCACGCGGAAGACCAGTGGGAACGTGACAACAGGACTTTAAAGGCGGCTCTGAGTAAACTCGTCAATGACCAAGTTGATGATTGGGACCAATACATTCCTGGCGTCTTGTTCGCATACCACACATCAGTCCATGCTTCAACGAAATGCACACCATTCGAGGTGATGTACGGCCGCCCTGCCAAGCTACCGATAGACCTGAAACCGACCGAGGGGAATGACGGCACAGCTACAGCATCTTCACCTAACAAGGCATGCCCAGAAGTGCTGGAAACCATCATCGATCTACACAAAGGCATCTGTTCCACTGTTTCCAACAATATCTCCAATGCACAGGATCGCCAGAAAGAAAACTACGATCGACGACACACCAGCAACAAGAGATAGCTGTTGGATCAACAGTGTACATCAAGAATAACAGAGTCCAGAGGATAGGAGCCAAGATGGAGCCACGCTGGACTGGACCATACTCCGTCGTCCAGACATTGACCAAAGGTCTTGTGAAGCTGCAGAACGTGAAAACCAACAAGATCCTGAACAACACATACCACGCCAGTAACCTCAAAATCTACTCCATTGACCCACCCACTAACGACAACGCCGAAAGCCCTAGTGATTCGAAGCAACGAAAAAGACTCGGAGAAGAACTGGAGTCAGGCGACCATACAGACCTTACTACCAAACAAATCAAGTCAACCCGTTTGTTCAACCCTATCCCCCAAAATGCTCGAAGGAATTTGGCTGCTGCATTAGGCCTGAACTCTTCAAAGGATATTTATTACGGAAGATCAACAGACTTGACAGCACCCCCACGGACATACAGAACCAAAGGCGACTTCCGCTGCATCAGTTACAGCCTGACAGGATCCGAAGACAGTCATGGCACTATCCGAGATCGAGTGGTTCAGCATATGAACAATGACATTAATGATGAACTAAAACATTTCCTGAACCAAAATGTCAATGAGTACATCACTAATTCGGGAATTTCACGAGATTGAGTTGAGAAGTTATGTCAACAGCCAGTCTGTTCAGATATTTATATTTACTGACTGACTGAAGTTATGTCAATATTCAGCCATCACGTCTGGGGACACCAGAAATGTGATACACATTGTTATGTGGGGATTAACCTCGGTCTTCGTGACAGTTGGCTACCCCAATGCATATTTACTGCAGTTGGTCAGTCAATGCAATGCCATGTACCCTCCAGCTTCAGCTTGAAAACTCACACTGATTATGCTTTGTATCTGGAAAATGTATCGGACCATTTCAATGTTGTAACCAGTGTTTAATTGTGTGAGAAGTACAATAAAATTATACTAGTATCCTTAATCACTTGTTTTCTGTAGGGGTATAATCTGGGCTAGGGGGGTATACTATGGCCTAGTTCAGAATATACCCCGGGGTATAAACTAGGCTAGCCCAGATTATACCTGGGGTATAGTCTGGGCTAGCCCAGTTTAACCCAGGGTATAGTCTGGGACGGGGGTATACTCTGGCCTGTTACACCGGGTTCAAATCCCAACATGGGTACGATGTGTGAAGCCCATTTCTAGTGTCCTCAGCTGTGATATTGCTGGAATATTGCTAAAAGCGGCGTAAAACAACACTCACTCACTCGCTCTCAAGCTTATCGTGTATTTTGTAGTTACCGGGAGTTTAATGATAGAGGGGGTGTTTCTGTGTGTATTCATTCTTCGCTTATTTGTTATATAAAACATGTGTTTACTATATACAATGACATTATATTTATTGTATTGGACAGGACCATGTTTACTTCTGCACGTGATGTGATATTAGGCTTTGTGTATATTCACCCCGCCACCTCCTCTGTACTGACCGACACCAGGCCATGGAAAGGAGTTGACTATCTAGAGCGTTCTCTTTCGGAGTTGTTGTATTACTACACAGAATGTGACATAATGTTAGCAGGAGATTTTAATGCTCGTACAGGAAATATGAATGATTTCATCATCGATGATAACAACCGTTATATACCAAGTCTTGAAGATATGGATTATGAAATGGATGAATTCAGTATGCAACGCCAGTCACGTGATGATGTGATTAATGATTATGGCAAAGAGCTTCTCGATTTATGCTGCACATATGGAATTCACATGCTAAACGGTAGATTCAAAGGCGACAGGTGTGGTGCATTTACGCGTTTCAAAGAGAATGGAGCAAGCCTGGTTGATTATGTACTTTGTTCATCAAAATTATTTGAAAGAATCTTAGATTTTGCTGTGTGCACTCAATGTGAGTCAGATCACTTCCCTTTGAGTGTTACATTCAACATCGGCACTGCAGCTAGGCAGAACACAAGCGTAGACACGAATGGAACCAGTATTCCCAGATTCGTATGGAAAGCAACCAATTCAGTAACATTTAGGGACATTGTATCTTCATCCTTAAGCAACATACATATGGACTTATTACTTCAAGATCAGGTTGACAACATCGACTTTATTGTCAGTGATATTTCACAAACAATACAAGATGCTGCTGTGGTATGTGGTATGGTGAGCAGACCATAGCAGGAACGAGAGAATAACGCATGGTACGACAGTGAGTGTAAAAACCTCAAGGACAAGAAATTCGGTTTATTGAACAAATTCAGAACAACTGGTGATAAACAAATATTGACTGAATACATTAAACTCAGGAATAGTTACAGAGGTTTGTGTCGAAGTAAGAAACAACAATACCAAGATCGACAGATAAATGAATTGACTGATGTGGATATCAATAACAGAGTGTTTTGGCAAAAAATAAAGAAAATGTCAAGTAACAGAAAGGTAACAACATCTATATGCCAGGACGAGTGGACAGAATATTTCAAAGAAGTTCTGAATGTAACAGGCAACTCGGTCGATCAACTCAATCTCGACAAAGCAGAGGAAATTCTACGTGATCACTGCAGTCTGTCATGTGATGTATGTCAGGATGATGACATTATGTACCTGCTAAATAGGGATATATCCGTAAAAGAGGTCAAGGCAGCTATTAGGAACTTAAAAGACGGCAAAGCAGCAGGTCCAGATGGTATAAAGACAGAGATGGTGAAATGTTGTGATGACTTACTCGCTCCATATCTAACTACCATTTTTAATGAAATATTAGTCACCGGAAATTATCCGATTGAGTGGGCCAAGGGTATAATCGTACCTCTTCACAAGAAAGGTGACGTCAACGATGTGAATAATTATAGAGGCTTATCCCTCATGGATGTTTTGGGAGAATATTTTGCTCAATTCTAAATGAACGTTTACAATCGTTTGCAGATGTTTATGATAAAATCCCCGAGGCCCAAGCAGGATTCAGGAAGAACTACAGCACAACTGACAATATATTCACTCTTCAAAGTTTGATTCAGAAATATCTCTCAAAACGAGGCGGTCGCTTTTATTGCATATTTGTGGACTTTAGAAAGGCCTTCGATTCAATTAATAGACAGCTTCTTTGGTACACACGATATCCATGGCAGAATATCAAATGTGCTAAGGAATATGTACTCTAAAATACAGTCAGCCGTGAGAACAGGCACCAACTCAATCTCCGACTATTCCAATGTTTGAGCGGTGTGCGACAAGGGTGCGCTCTCAGCCCTTTCCTTTTTACAATATTCATTTCAGAATTTCAAGTCATATTGGAAAATGCCAATCTTAGAGGAATATTCGTCGACCCTGAATTTATGGAGCTGTTCCTGTTACTTTTTGCTGATGACCTATGTATATTCGACGATTCTGTAATTGGACTTCAAAGAAAAATTGATATTCTACACATCTACTGTCTGACATGGGGAGTGGAAGTCAACATGAACAAAACGGAAATCCTTGTCTTTCGGAACGGAGGCTTCTTACGAAATTATGAAAAATGGTATTTATACGGATCACAGATAAAATGCTCAACATATAACTATCTCGGAATAATGTTCCCCACTCGACTGTCATGGACTAAATGTACTAAGACACTTACCGCTAAAGCCACTAAAGCCCTATTTGCCATCAAACAGGTATCTTATAAATATCCAAATATGTCTGCAAGTGTTCTTTTCAAGCTCTTTGACAGTAAAATAAAGCCAATATTACTTTACGGTGCAGA